AGGACGCCGGCGGTCAGTCCAGCGGTCACTCCGGTGATGGTCACTCCGGTGATGGTCAGTCCAGTGGTCACTCCGGTGATGGTCACTCCGGTGATGGTCAGTCCTCCAGTGGTCACTCTGGTGATGGTCAGTCCAGTGGTCACTCTGGTGATGGTCAGTCCAGTGGTCACTCTGGTGGGGGTTAATCCACCAGTGGTCACTCTGGTGGTGGTCAGTCCACCAGTGGTCACTGCAGTGGTCACTGCAGTGGTCACTAGTGGCCACTCCAGTGGTCACTCTGGTGGTGGTCACTTAAGTGGTCACTTCACCGGTGGTCACTGCAGTGGTCACTCTAGTGGTCACCCTAGTGGTCATTCCAGTGGTGGTCAGTCCACTGGTGGTCACTCTAGTGGTCACTGTGGTGGTCACTCCACCGGTGGCCACTGCAGTGGTCACTCCAGTGGTGGTCAGTCCACTAGTGGCCACTCCTGTGATCACTTTGGTGGTGGTCACTCTAGTGGTCACTCTGGTGGTCACTCTAGTGGTCACTCCAATGGTCACTCCACTGGCGGCCACTCCTGTGGTCACTTAAGTGGTCACTCTAGTGGTCATTCCAGTGGTGGTCAGTCCACCGGTGGTCACTCTAGTGGTCACTGTGGTGGTCACTCCACCGGTGGTCACTGCAGTGGTCACTCCGGTGGTCACTCCGGTGGTCACTCCGGTGGTCACTCCAGTGGTGGTCACTCCACTGGTGGCCACTCTGGTGGTCACACTGGTGGTCACTGCAGTGGTCACTCTGGTGGTCACTCCGGTGGTCACTCCAGTGGTGGTCACTCTGGTGGTCACTCTGGTGGTCACTCTGGTGGTCACTCCGGTGGTCACTCTGGTGGTCACTGGTGGTCACTCCGGTGGTCACTCCAGTGGTCACTCTGGTGGTGGTCAGTCCCCGCCGGACGCGGGGGGTGGTGGGAAATAAACGCCGGCCTGAGCCCGGCTACGGCCACTGGGTGGTCAGTGGTCATTCAAGGGGTCACTGGGTGGTCAGTGGTCACTCAAGGGGTCACTGGGTGGTCAGTGGTCATTCAAGGGGTGGTCAGTGGTCACTCAAGGGGTCACTGGGTGGTCAGTGGTCACTCAAGGGGTCACTGGGTGGTCAGTGGTCACT